TAAAAATCATTTGTTATAGGAGGTAATATATGGTCATGGACCATTATTGGCGGACGGTCCATATAGTTGGGATTATACAAAAATAATCAATAGTTGGGATTATTGTCAGCGAATCGGCAATAGTTGGGATTATTATTTACAATTTTTCCTAGTTTATATTGCTAGCTTCTTTTGCACTATGAGAACATATCTAGAGAATTATAGTTTTTTCTCTAAAAACAGTCTGTGTTTGACAAAGAAACTCTATGAGTACAAGAATTACATTTCATACACAGTCTGGCTTATTTATCTATATTAAAGTTTGACACGTCCTATATTAACAAAAAACACACTCTATTCAAAACATAAACATGTCAAACATGTGAATGAAAAATAAAAAAATCACATGTTCCATATTCAGAAATGAGAAATGATCTCAATTTTCATGACCAAATATTGATATATTAAAGTTACACTCATGAGTAAAAGAATTACATTTTATACACAGTCTAGCTTATTTATCTAGCTCTTAAACAACACCTTTAGTGTCATGATGTGATTGTGAACAAATATATGATCACGATGATAAGATAACTTTTTATATTAAGTTTGGGGTATGTATTATAACATGTGCAAGTTTGGAGTATTGATCTTACACTCATGTAAAGTTTGAATATTTAAATTACTTTCCCGTAATATCCTATCCTATCCTATTATTCCTATCCTATCCAATCCTATCCTATTATTCCCATCCTATCCTATCTTATCCTATATCCTATATATCTAAAGGGAAAATCCACCTCCCTAAATTTTCCCGCTTCTCTCTCCTAATTATAAACCATATAATGATAGTGGGGGTGTTTGGAAATTGGTTGTTAGATGTTGGTTGATTATGCTGGCTGATTCATAACAGCGTATTTTGTTGACTGTTTTCATTAGCTGATAGTATTAGCCGTTCGTAAAATGATCTTTGGTTAAATGGTTGTTTAGAATCAGCTGATAACTTATTAAATGACTATTAAGGACATCAATTAATTTTTAGCTTCAATTATTATTTTATAATTAAAATTATAATTACTTTTATTACTATTGTTATTATTATTATTATTATATTTTTCCATAAAAAAAGTGCATAGTAGGAAGTATATTTCAATTAATCCACAAAACTGAATTGGAGATAAATTGGAAAAAGCTAGAAAATAACATTTCATTAAATGGAGCTTGCATTGCTATTCGGTGGAAATTAATGGTGGGTGGTTTTTGTTTATGTGTGGGAGGAGGCAATTACGAAGATGAGGGAATGGCTGCATGGGTAGCAAAGGAAAAATACCAAACAACCATATCTAAACGCCACAATTTATAGCATTTCACATATGGGCTGTTTGAGATAAAAAGCCAATTAAAAAAGCCATGTAAAAAGGCCAATTCTAGTCAAATCAGCCAAAAATTTGCTGATAGGCTCCTAACCAAACACCCCCAATACTCCCTCCGTCCCTATATATAAGAGACACATTTACTTTTGCACACATCTTTAGGAGGAACACTGTTTGACACTGTTTTGCACTGTTTGGTACTGTTTTGCACTGTTTTGTTTGTCAAAAAGGGAAATGAGCCTTTTATATAGGGACATCCCAAAAGAAAAGTGTGTCTTTTATATAGGGACGGAGGGAGTAATAATTAATTGTATTAGGTTTCTTTTCAGTTTAACAGTATTACTTATTTTGAATTTTCAATTATATATGAGCACATTTAATCGGTTCTCCACTCATTTTCTTCTTTTCTCAACTACATGAAGTATCCGTGCGATGCACGTGGTATATGTAGAATTGAAGAGCTTGTAACTTATATAAAATTATGTTTTACGATGGAACATAATGAGTAATTTTGCAAAATGAAATAAAAAAGGTGATAGGATTTATATGCTTTAACTTTTAGTATATACAAAAGCGGAGGCGGAGCACTGAGCCGGACTGGGTCAGTGCCAAAAATATTTTTGAAAAAACTTTTACACAAAATTTTTTATCTTAAAAATTAAGGCATTTTAAAATTTGGGTTAGGATAAGGCCTAGGTTGAACCCCCAGCTCCGCCCTTGATTATATACGTTGTCGTAGCTGTAAGAAAATAAATTTGGATTGAATGTTAAATTTTGAAAGTAAAATAGAAATAAATGATGGTGTATAAAAGTAAGCTCTATGTGACAATTAAATAACTTGGTAGAATAATTATTAGTGGGTGTCATCAAACTTAATACATAGTAATAAAAAGAACAATCACATATGTTGACAATGGTAAAAAACGTTTCATAAATCTTAAAAACTTCTTTGTAGACCATATTATTAGTGGTGTTGATAGTATGACCCTCGTCATCACATATCCTACTTAATAATCTTCATATCACTCCTTGTGGTGATCCTTGACATGAAAACATACAATGGACTATGCACATAAACAAATTTTGGAAAATATATGACCACTTGATAGATAGATTTTACTTGGCTTTTGTTTATTATCATGGCAAATGAAACAACGATTGGGTATTTCCCGCGTAAAAATTTGCAAGAAATTATGCTATCTGGTTGTACCAATGATAATTGTGGAATCAATTTTTTTTACCAATACTTTTACCAGATTTAACATTTGCCTATAAAACGTATTTATTCCATCGAGTAATAATAGGAACAAAAAAACCTTTAGTCCCATTTATGATTCTGTATCCTTAGCTTGATGCATATGGTGTTAAGAACTCTTGAGTATGCACTTCACAAGATCTTTCGCCAGTGTTGCCTTCAAGCGAACATGGGCCGTCAAAACTCAAATATGTTTCCATTCTCGAGGAACCAATGAAATCATTTAATTATTGATATTCTCTATAACATCATTTGTGGGTGTCAAAATAGCCCGTTACTGAAAATATGACGGATTAGCAATATTCTCTAGATATGACTGATAAGTGCTAACAACAATTAAAATAATAGGATCGCCTAAAGTGTTAATAATTAAGCATATCATCATGTATATCTAAATGAAAACCTCTTCATCTCTAACATTCTCAATAATTTCATATCCTATTTTGAGGATTAAATCTGAGAAACCTTTAAATTCATCAAAATTACAATGCATAGAATCGCATTGCAACCTCATATAATTAAATGTTCAGGTGGAAAACTAAATTACTCGATGAATATCTTGGAGGAGACAACTACATTACTCTTTGAATATTTTGAGCGAGATTAGTGCATGTTTGGTAGACATAAGTCCATATCTTATAGCTTTTTAACTATTTAAAAAGTCTCTAAAAATTTTAGTTGTACGTTTGGCATGACAATTTATAAGAGCTTTTAAAAAAATAAAAGGTCTTTTTTGAGATACTACACTGTGTAGCATTCGAGAAAAGTTTGTAGCTTTTAGTATTAATTAGTACCAACACCTTGTATGACAAATTGAACTAAATCAAACCATCGCCTTTCTATCAAACAACTACCGTCTTTTACATATAAGATCCTTTCAGTCACTAAAATCTAACAGTTACAAAAAAAATCTATTAAATTATCTTTACAGCCAGTAGTGCCAAACATACCCTTAATTTTATTCCATACACTTTAACTGTTGACTACTCCATTAGATTTGCATGATAAGATTGAAATGATAAATTTATAATTAATTTAGTTCTAATTCTAAATGTATTGAAATTCAATCTCTTTTGAAGTGTGTGGTATGCATATATGATATGAGTGGAATACTCTTTAAATAAAATAATGGCAAATCTATAAAACAATCCAAAATATATTTTAAGTTTTAATATGAGATTACATTCATTACTCTTTCATGAGAGGCATGCATATTATATTCTAAACATTTCACATTAATTCATTTTCCATTTTCAACATAAAATTTTTATTGAATATTAGTTAATCGATCAGTAACGTACTTCAATACATGCATAAGATGACAATAAATGCTTCATCCTAATTATTTTTGATCTACACTCGTGGGCGGGATGCATATTCTAGCATTTTTACTTTAATTTCACATTAATGTCCTATTATGACTTTATTTTGGGTGGGATTTCCCCCTCCAATAGTTGTCCCAACTTTGTTACCTTATATTTCCTCGGTTCTTAAATAAGCGCGCAACATGTTGAATTTTACATTATTCGCATGCGCTACTTTAACTACGCTTTATATACTAATACTTTCATAAATTATTTTGCAGAAGATAGTGTTAAATTTGTTTTCATTTTAAATTTTCAAAATCTGATTTTTTTATTTTATTACTAATAGAGAAGACTATATATTAATGGTCAAAGTTGTATATCGGCAAACATGAAACGTATATTGTTGCACTTGTATAAAAATGGAGGAAGTAATATATAAATATAAAAATAAAAACAAAGATAAAGATATCCTATAATTATACATACATCTTTATTTTGGTGCATTTAACATTTTAGCCTTTTAAAGAGTTAAATATTTTTAAAAAAGGAATATATTAACAAAAAAAATACACATTTATGTAAATAAAGTATAACTACCCAATCACGGAGTAATACTCTATTTGTCGAGTTCCATAAAAATTCTGAATCTTTATAAATTTTAGATGTATGAGTAGAATAACATGATTATGGCCGGTTCATGTACACCAAATTTTTTCATCTTTCTTTAGCATGGAGCATCGGGTCATTGAATGGGATAAGAGGGAATATGTTAGCGTTGGTATGACCAACTATTGTTTCCATTCCTTAATGACACAAATTTTTCCTCCAAAATATGTGTCCATTATGTTTTTTTTGTGCCCGAAGAAACGCCACGAGGGTGAGGTAAATGTCGGGGAACATTTACCTAATATTATTAGAAACTCTAGTGAAATACAACAATTGCAATAGGCTAAAAAAAGACATATAAAGAAAAGAAGCAAAAGCATCAAGGGTCCTGGGCCCGATCGGCTCATATGTTGTCTAATTCCCACAACTGTCCAAGGAATATAACCTGCCTTGAAAACATAATAGTCCAACAGACAGTCACTTATAGAGTTATAGGGTTCATGGGAGTGGCGTGTAAAGAGCAATATGATCGATTTGAGAGGGAGTGTGAGTGGAGGAAGAAACGGGGGATAGTCGGTCGCCGGAAAGTACTTGTCGCATGGAATCAACCGGTATCTCTGAAAAAGGTAACACCTTCTTTATCTTCGAAAAATGCCTTTTGTGCTTTCCATGGAAGGTTGTTTGTTGTAAATCGTGTCATGGTGTGTAATCGTAGACCTGTTTGTGCGAGGTGGTGGGCGACGGCATTCGTTTCTCTTCGTCAGAATGTGATGGTCAGCCCATTCCTTAGCCTGAGATTGTTGATGCTAGTGACCATGGATTGAAGATAGCCAGGTACCATTTCGAGACCTAGCACACATTTGACACTAGTTTCCGAAGCTCTAATCAATATGAATGATTTGTAACCTTCTCCAACAATTTCTTTTATTGAGGTGTTCAAGGCTACCATCTCTGCTTGTAGAGGGTTTATCGCTGCCAGAGGAAAAGCTAGGGCCTGTTTCAGCAGACCAGAGGTTGTTCTAAGGATCGCTCCACCAGAACTTGTGGTTCCTTGGTGATCCGCATCAGTGTTGAGCACGAGATCTTCAGGTATGTCCATTATCTAGCTTTGGCCTTGGATGCCTGATTTTTTTTTTTTGTAATGAATGGCATCAGCCCATCGGAGTGTAGTTCCTTGTCGAATTGGATGTTTGTTCTGTGTTGGTTGCTGTACAGCCATTTTCTTGTGATATCCTTTATATCTGCTATAGTGTGTTGTTTTGAAAAGGTCTGGTTGTTCCAAATACATGAGTTGTATGCCTTCCATACATGCCATAAGATGATTCCCGACATTGATTGCCTGAGAGTGATCTTAGTGTCACCTGCCTTTTCCCCAATCCACCATAGGAATAACGTCTCTCGCAGTTCTTCATGGTTTGTCTTTCGTACCTGCAAAATAGAAGAAAAGTAGTCCCAAATGGGTCTGATGTTAGGACAACTGAAAAGAGCATAGTTTTGGGTCTCAATGTTTTTTTTTTGCACATGGGGCATTGGGTAGCCAGTTGTATATTGAACCGTCTTAGATTGTCGGGGAAAGGTAAGGAACGGTTCAAAAGTTTCCAAACAAAAATTTTTATTTTCAATGGGAGAAGGGGGAGCCATGTTTGGGAGAAACTCGTGGGGTATTTAGTTCTTGAGTAGTTATAGGCACTGTTTAGGGTGAACAACCCTTCTTTTTCAAGCGTCCAAACAACGGAAGCTTCAGATTCAGTAATGCATTCCTTGAATAAGAAAGATGTTTGGCAAATTTGTTTCCATGAACTAGATCGAGTCTGTAGGGTAAGCTCTCATATTCCCTAATCTGTGATATCTCCCCCTCATGTAGTGAGCCCAAATTGATTTGTCTTCACAGTAGGGCCACCATAGTTTTAGTGGTAAAGCACTCTGTAAGTCTTAGATGGATCGTATATTGAGTCCACCCTCTTCCCCCGGTCGGCAAATAAGCTTCCATCTTTGACAGTGGTATTTTGGTCTGTCACCCGAATTGCCCCCAAAAAAATTGTTTATGATTTTCTCTAGAATATGGATAACTTTAGCTGGTAATTTGGATATAGCTAGGTGATGTAGGGGGTAGAAGATAGAACATGTTTTATCAGAACAAGTCTTCCACTTTGACTAAGTTTCTTTTTGTTCCAGGTTAGAAGTCTGGTTTCAAAGCTCTTGATAATTTTCATACAGTGCTCCATTCGAGTCATTCCACGGTGAAGAACAGCTCCTAGGTAAGTTACCGGCATGGTAGAGGTTTTCATTTCAGTTTCTCTTTCCATGTCCTTTCGTCTTGCAAAGGGCAGTTTCTTACTAACCAAAAAAGTGCTTTTTTCAAGATTGAAGATTTGCCCAGTTGCATTACTGAATATGTCCAGGAAGTTTTTGAGGTGCCTGAGTGAAGGGGCATATCCATTAATAAAAAGCAGCAGGTCATCAGCGAATCCCAATTGCGCAATCGGGCTTGGTTTGCCTCCAACAAGATAGGGCTTTATTGGATGTGTATTGATAAGAAATTGTAATCCCCTTGTGAAACGTTCAATAATAAGCAGGAATAGGTAGGGTGAAAGGGGGTCACCTTGCTTGACTCCCCTCTGTGGCTGAAAATAGCCATAGGGCTGCCCATTAATGAGTATGGAAACGTGATTGGAGGATAAATTGCTTATGATAAGTGGGATGAAATTCTTATCAAAGCCCAATTTAGATAGAATAGCCTCCGAAAAGGACCAAGATACCCTATCGAACTCTTGGGCTAAATCCAACTTTATGGCCACATTTCCACCCCATAGCCATTAGAATGTGGTTATGAATATCCTCCCCTTCCATGAAACCAATTTTCTCTTTAGAGACAATTTTAGGGAGTAAATGTTTCAAATGGTTAGCCAACAATTTAGAGCACACTTTATTGATGAAGTTGGTAAGGGTGATGGATTGTAATTGGGAGAAAGTTTGAGGGTTTTGGATTTTAGGGATGAGGGTTATGAGAGAAGACGTAAGGGCTCTAGGCATAGTTTTTCCTAGGAAAAACTCCCTCACAGCTGAGCACAGGTCGTGTTCTATGATTGACCAGCAGCTGTTGTAGAACTGCCCGCTGAAACCATCGGGATCGGGAGTGCTGTCTTTATTCGGTGACCAAACAGTATCTCTGATTTCTTGGTCTTGTGGGGGGTAGTTAGGAAATAGTTTTCTACCTGGGATATGATTGGGTTAAAAAAGTCCAGTAGGTAGTCCATATCCTCTTTCTACCTGGGCTATGAGGTCGGGTTCGCTAATAACTTGGTCTTGGCTATCTGTGATAGACAGAATTTTACATTTAAACTGTTTTTGTTTAATGTAGTTGTGATAGAACCTGTTATTAGCTTCTCCTTCAGATAATCATTTGATGTTAACCTGTTGTTTCCAAAATAATTCCTCCTGTTTGAGCTTTAGAAGTAAGTCAGCCTGAGCTTTGGACCAAGATATCCTAGAGGTAGGGCTCGGGTCAGAAACGTATGTTTCTTCTTCGAGTTGTGCTTGGCCCTCAACCCTCCAGACCCCTTCAAAGATATTCCCAAAAGTAGAAGTGTTCCAAAGTTTTAAACCCCTTTTAGTTTCCTGCAATTTATATTGTAGAAACAACGCATCCCTCCAGAGGATTTGATAGAGGCCCAACTAGTTGAGACCACTTCTTGAAATGAGTGATGAGTGGCCCACATGTTTTGAAATCTGAAGGGTTTGGGGCCTGTTTGGAGAGAGGTAGTAGTGGTGATTACGATAGGGGTGTGCTCAGATGAGGTTCTGTTTAGGTGTCTCTCGGCCACAGTCTCAAAATTATCTAAGAATGGGAGTTGGCTAGATATCTGTCTAATCACCTCCACATTCGACCCGTTGATCTAACCCCAGTCCAGGTGTAGGTAGGTCCTGTGAATTGAACTGGTTCCAGATCACAATAATCTATGCAATCAGTAAAAGCAGTAATGTCAGAGAGTCTAGGAATGGTTTTACTGATGTATTCGCTCATAGATGCTACTCCCTCCGTCCCGTTATGATTGTCCCATTTTACCATTTCGGTCCGTCCCACTAAGATTGTCACATACCTTATTTGGTAAAGTTTGTGTGGTTCTAAATCATTCCTACTTTATTTTTACTTTATCAATTCAATATCAACCACATAAACTCCTTTTTATTGATAACCGTGTCATCTTCTCTTGTCCCAAACTTAGAGGGACGGAGGTAGTATAACATTATGTAACACCCTGATTTTAGCGATCTAGTTACATTAATCCTTTATTTTATTCAGTCATTTAAATAAGTTTATTTTATGAATAATGTGATTTATTCCTTTTTCTAAGTTTTGTTTGTGGCAGATAACGTTGACTGGTAAGCTCCAACAATTTCAAGGAAAGAAATAAATGATAGTACATATTTTATTAGTATATTATTAAGAGGGAGAATATAATACTTCGATTGGGTCAGATTCAATTTTCTTTAGAAGGCTAAGACACCCCAAATCAATTATCTTGGCCCGAATCAGTATTTTAACCAAAACCCTACAAGGATAAATATAGATATGCCGATTAGTGACTCATTTGAGTAGCAAGCCTTAAACGTTCCCGTGCCTATTTTTCTTCTCCTGATAGCCGCTGCTCTAGTCTTTCTTCCTAGACGAAAAACTTTCTATCTTCCTCAAGGAACCAAGAGTCTGGTACGTCACTTCTACAATCCCTGATCGTTTTTTTTTTTTTTTGTTGATGAGAATGTTTAGGTACTTTTATGTATTTCCAGTAGGGGCGAACATCAACGATCTTCTTAGATTTTAAATGGTTCTGTTACCTTGCTATTGATTAGTGCAGATAATCATTCAGATTTTGTGGAGATTGATCAGATTTTCAAGTTTTGATTTAACAAACTGAATTTTTATGTTAACAACTAATTTAATTCTCCCTGATTCTCTTTATGCTTTAGGGCGTTGTGATTGGAGTGTTAAGTTAAACTCTACTTTATTAACATCCCACAAGTTGCTGTGAAGCGGACCATTTAGAAGAAACCGATTTTCCAAAAAACCTTCTGGTCTAGTTAGTTCTATAGAAATTGTCCAACAGTGGTCATCAATATAGAAAAAATTCAATTTGTTTCAATTATTACGTGCTAGCAGGTTCATCATGTATTCACTGTGTATAAGACAAAACTGATTAGGAAGAGTTTTAAGGCCGCTACTACTAATTTTAGTAAAGACTCTGCTGAAATCATTATTATTTATTGAAGTACAGTCAACATATTGGTTTGGTTCCTCTATTCTACGTCGGTATGCTGCAGCAAGATAAGATTACCTAACTTATTAGACAAAAGATTTTAATTATTTTATTATATTTAAATAAAGATTACAAAAGAAGAGCTTGCCGGAAGACGTTATCAAGGTGCCACACTTATTTGAGTATTTTGAGTTCAGCTCCTTACAGGTAAGTTCACTACCACCTGTACATGTTTGTTCAACCAAATGCAAGAAAGAAGTCTGGTTGATTTTTAGTAGATAATTTTAGACTATTTGCTATTATGTGAACTATGTGAATTATGTGATGAGTTATGTTATTTGCTGGATTAAGTTATGTTTATTATCTGGCATAGTCAAGATTTGTCAGTACTTTTGTTTCAGAATAAATGATATTTTTAGTCAAACGTCACCATAAAAAGAACTAATACTTAAAGTGAAAGATCAGGTGATATGTACTCGGGAACAAGTTCCCTCAGTTTATCAGTTATCAGCTTATCAGTTTCAGAGAGTCCGATATGTGTAGTGGGTCGCTCCCCTGAGCTGTCGGATTGGCGCCTTTGAGTACATATCACGGGCCCACAGTTAAAATTAGCCACAAAGAGTTTTACAGAAAGTTTATGAGATCTCTTTCAGAAAGTTTTATAGAAAGTTTATGAGATCTCTTTCAGAAAGTTTTACAGAAAGTTGTTATGAGATCTCTTTCAGAAAGTTTAACAGAGATGTTTGAGAAAGAAATTTTGAGATCTCTCCAGCAGTTTTGAGAAATTATTTTAGAAATTATTTTCTTTTTGTGATCTCACTCAGAATGTATTTGAGAAGTTATGTGTTAGTTATTTGTTCAGTGCATGCTTATAGCCTAAATTTATCTATTGATAAATTGGCATAGACTTCTAAATATTTTTGTGGATCCATAGTGACTTACTAAGCGTAAAGCTAATCAGTTTATTTCTTCGCATGTACAGATACTAAGGATAAGGCCAAGGCCTAGGAAGATGATGAGAGAGTGGAACGCGTGCCAAGATGAGTTAACGGGAACGACCTTGACGGCTTTTAGCTAGTTATTATTTTGTTTCAATATTTTAGTTGTTATAATAAAGAGATTATTATACTTTATTTTATTTAAGGATTTGAAGTTTGAATAAATTCCTGGATCTAGGTGGTTATCACATTTGCTGGTGATAACTAGATTTTATTGAGTTTTTATTTGGAGTTATATTTTAGCTATATTTGAGTTTTCACTAGACATTACCCCATTCTAATCTCGGTCCAGGTTACAAGAGATATCAGTTAAATTATTCAAACACAAATTAAACGACATTCATGCAATTAACCCATCAAGAATCTAGTCATACATCATGATCAACCCCTTCATCAATCCCAAATCCCTAATTAAAACTACTCACAATTCATAATTGAAGTATCAATAGAATTGGAATAAAAAGAATTAATTGTCATTAATTAAAAAGGTGGAACTTACAAAGAATCCCAAAAGATTGATGAACAAGGCTGAAAAGCCCTCTAAAATTCGTGCTAGGCACTCTCTCTAAGTTCCCCCCTTTAAAACGGGGGTTTACATGCTGTTTAAATAGAAAAATCGGGTGAAATTTGAGCTGAATTGGGATTTCCGGAGACAAGCATGATGCCAGACACGATCGTGCCTCCGGAGCAAAAACGCGCATTTTGGGCAAGCACGATCGTGCCTCCCTCTAGGCACGATCGTGCCTTCGATCTTGCCTCCGGAGCAAAAACGCGCATTTTGGGCAAGCACAATCGTGCCTGGAGGGAGGCACGATCGTGCCTGGCTGGCAGTAGCTCCGCGATGCTTTCTCTTCACGCACGATCGTGCCTGACTTTGAGGGCAGGATCGTGCCTACATAACTTCCAAATTTGGCAATGCTTACTTCATAAAAGTTGTAGATAATGAAGTCCTCTATCCACCCCAATTTGCCGAATGTGATTTGAATCTTCCAATAAGGAGATATGATCAAAACGGTGAAAGGTGTCTTTCTAAAATCGCAGCAGAGATCATGTGACTTCATCGTCTGTTTTGACCTTCTTCCTCTCAGATTCTCGCAAAGGTGTCTTCATATTATTTGTATATATTGAAGTTGGCTTTCATATGGAACTTGAATCGTGTTCTTTGGATATTTCTACAAAGAGATATGCTTGAACGATTGACAGAAGGTCATCCTGATCGTCGCTTTCAAGCTCTTTTCGTCTTCTTTTGATCCCGTAGCCAATCCTCGAGCTCTTTTGTCATCAAATCTTCATCGTAAACCTCCCGCTGACCTCCAAATCTCTTAAATAAATCTCGAATTCTTCTAGAAACATCCCGATTTCTCCTCAAGCACCGGTGCCGAACTCTAAATTCCCGATTTTGACTCCAAATGACACAAAACTCGAACCAATGCCTGGTAAACATAACTTGAGCTAAAATTGACACTTGAAACACCTTAAATCTAGGAAAACCATCAAAATCCAATCCCAACACGCATCAAATGCGTGTCTAAATACGGACTTATCAGATTCCCCCACACTTAAGTCTTTGTTTGTCCTCAAGCAAACTGAACAACGGGACTTACGATAATCACCACACGGAATCAAAATAGTTAGCATGCAAACGTAGTTACAGAGATACTCAAAGAACAGACAGACTAAACCAAGAAAATTCTTCCCTAAAACTACATCTTTGTACTCTAGCTAAAATATTTGACAAAATTATTCACAACATCTTCAAAGTAGTGACAACAAGCTCTAATAAACAGTCTGTCTTTCGGTGACTTGTGAAGGCGGTGGTGAATGGTGAATGGTAATAAACAGTCCCTTTTTTGAGAGTTTGGAACATCCTAACAAAGACTTGATGCATTCAGGTATTTCGGGGCTATTCTTAGGATCAAAGAACTTAGTAGGCCACAATTTAGGAAAAATCATTTAAACCTATGCAAAGAGTAGACATGGTGTACAACTAAGCTAAACCGTCTCGGCACATTTGTGCTTTGACGTACACTTGAAGTACGCGGAGGACTAAAGCTAATTTTCAATAGCCTCTAAGTTCATTAATTAAATTCAGTTTTCCTTGTCATGTTGGCACGAGAACGCCGTTTCTTTCGAAAGATACCCAAGTCTCATCTTACGCTTTTTGACCGGGGCTCCCATTCTCTTTTTCGCAAGGCAAGAGGTCTAACTATATTAATTTTTCACCTTTCGGATTCTCACTAGACATTACCCCATTCTAATCTCGGTCTCACCAAGGAAAAATAGCAATTAAAGTTCATTTATTTAAAAGTGAATCCATGCCTACAATGCAATCCTCGAAAGTATCAAATTCCTAAATAGTGACTGCTCTTACCCCATTTGGGGCATAGGAACAGTGCCAAAAATGGCTCCCACACAAAATTACCTAAACTTAGCAAATTAATCCCCTAGTTCCCTAAACATCAAGACTAAGTCAGAAATATTCACAGGTAAGGAAACAGGCCATTTGGCTATGGAGCTCAATTAATTGGGGCAAACAACGAACGGCCAGGCTCAAAATGGCTTCTCCTAAAGGAACTTATTCAGGTCAATGGGAAAATGGTTAATTCATTACATGGGTGACTAATGCCTTTATCCTTTCAACAACCAGATTATAGTGCAAGCAATTTAAGCCTAAATACTTCAAAGATGTTGTAAAATCATAGTCAAAACGCTAACCAGTTCACAAAGACACAGTTTAAAGAAAAAAAATCAAAAAATTTTGACATGAATTTCGTATGAATATACAACTAACACCTACGCATGCTAACTCTAAAAATCACATGTAGCAACTACTGCCCGAATGCCCAATTCACCCCCCACACTTAAACTTTGACATCGCCCTCGATGGCCAAAAATGCACTATGCACAAGGGGTAAAGAGGAAAGGCTCATACGTGCTCAACTCAACTCAAGTTAATATTTACAAAACAGGCGATTATAAAAGTTGCAGAAACTTCCCTAAGGCGCTGGTTGGTGCGGAACTAAACTGAGTCAATGTAATCCTCGGCACATCATCCCCAAAGCAAGACCCTGAGCTGCAAAAACAACACACAAAAACACAAAAACAAAAAAATAGAAAACACCCCGGTTTTTTTCCGGGGGTTTCTTGAAAACAAACAAACAAAAACAAAAGTGCATAAAATAAGCTTGGGTTGCCTCCCAAGAAGTGCTATTTTTAACGTCGTTTGCCCGACACAACCACCTCATCAAAAACTCAGTCAAAGACACTCCCGCTCAAAAAATTAGTCTTCCATAAATCAAACCTCCTATCAACAAATGCCCTGAGATGGTGTAAGACCTTAAATTCGTGAAAACAGTTACACGTCTCAGGGCCACCCGTAAAGCAAAAGAATGGATCGTGGCCTTTATCAGGCCCTTTAGCAAAGAATGGGTCAAAGAATGGACAACTCCCTTTCATGTCAAAAATTTTCCGGGCTAGAGCTTCCCTTTGTTCACTAAGTAAATTAAGACATGCTGATTTTTGGGATAGCTCAAGCCCAGATGCAAGAAAAACAGGGGGGTCAGGACTGTCATCAATAAAATCATACTCGAGGTGGGATGGAAGAGACTTTAGATTTAATAAAGAAGGAGTAACAAAAAATGAACCGGACTGAAAATTTTCCTTCTCCACCTCATCTAAATCATCTTCCGTCCCCTGCACAGAACTAGCATCACTTGAGTCCTCCTCTCCACTAATCATAAGACAATCAAAACTAGGGAGGGGCTCAAGATCCTTTGCTGACACACTTTCCTCCAACAAAAGATCAAGAAAGGCTTCATTAGAAAGCATGTTAGGGGTGCAATCATCCACCATAGAATCTATGTCATCCAAATAAAAACACTCTCCACTATCCTGACAAGGCCTCTTCATTATTTTGGACATATCAAAGGTGACAGTCTCATCCCCAACGCGGAGGACAAGCTTACCGTCTCTAACATCAATAATTGCTCGGGCAGTTGCCAAGAATGGTCTGCCCAAAATCAATGGTACCTCTCGATCCTGATCCATGTCCAAAATAAAGAAGTCTACAGGAATAATAAACTTGTCCACTTTAACCAAACGTCTTCAACAATCCCTTTAGGATATTTGACTGAACGGTCAGCCAGTTGAATGCACATACGTGTTGATTTTAGTGGACCGAGTGCAAGCTTTTCATACAAAGTGAATGGCATCAAATTAATGCTTGCACCCAAATCTGCTAAGGCCCTATCAAAAGTAAGATCTCCTATTAAGCAGGGTATAGTGAAAGAACCTGGATCCTTAAGCTTCTCTGGTAGATCCCTCCTAATCACAGCTGAGCAGTCCACATTAAGCCTCACAGTTGATGCTTCTTCCAGCTTCCTCTTGTTAGTAAGCAGATCCTTCATGAACTTCGCGTACTTCGCCATTTGTGCTAGTGCATCCACGAATGGTATGTTAAGCTGGATTTGTTTCATGAGTTTCAGAAAATGACTAAACTGGTCACTATCATTCTTCCTTGTCAATCGTGCCGGATAGGGGAGAGGTGGGGTGTAATTCTTGACCGGAACGGGCTGTTTTGGTGCAGCTGCCACCTCTCTTCCCTCTTCTTTCTCCTTTTCTTCTTCCCGGGCAGCCGGTTCAACTTCAACTCCATCGGGCTTCTTTGTCGTGGCAGCAGGTTCTAGCTCTTTTCCACTCCTCAAGGTGATTGCCTGGACATGTTCTCTTGGGTTTGGCTCGGTATTGTTAGGGAGGAATTCCTAAGGCCTATCATATATGGCTTTTGCAAGCTGCCCCAATTGATTTTCCATATTCTGCATCCTTGCATTTGCTTGTTGATTATTTACCTCAGAAGCTTGTATGAAACGTTTAAGGGTTTCCTCCAAGCTAGCAAACTTTTGTTCAGTCTCTATCCTAAAATTTCCTTGCCCCGACTGAGGTGCTTGCTGCTGGCCTTGAGGTGCTTGGGGCTGATTATAGTTCCTATACTGCTGCTGCTGATTTCCTTGCCTATAATTCCTTTGTTGCTGCTGTCCGTAGGGCTGATTGTGGTAGCCTTGCCACTGATAATACTTTGCATCCACTTGCTCTACTCCAGGGGCTGCCGAGTGTGCCATCATAGTGCATTCATGTGGCGAATGGAGTCCCCCACACAAAGTACAAGACGGACTAATAGGACCGAGGGCTACCATATTAACACTTGGCACCGAGAAAGCAAGATCCATCTTCTTTTGATTATCCTCCACACTGGTAGCGAGCTTCTGAATCATGCT